ACGTTAAAATATACAGGGTGTTGCATTTAAAAATACCAGCTTTGGGTCAAATTTCAGTAACGGTCGTCAACATTTTTTTACTACGCCACAGGATTCTACGTAAAATGTGTCAAATAGAGAGCTTTTACATTTTTCTATCTTACGTGGGTAGTAAGATATGATAGCATTTCAAAAGTCAAACTTTCCTTTCCATCCTGTATTTCAAAAACAAACGTAGCTAGGTTGATTCTGTTTGTGGTACTCAAAGTTTCACAAACAAGCCGCGTCGGGTCGCAAGTCTCTTATTTTAAAAACAGCAGTCTCAACCAAAACAGGACACACTGTACATAATATGAAAAAACTTACTCATGACTATCTACAATACATAGATCAAACAGTGCATGTATTTGTATTGGTTTTTGAAATTAATTTATAAACCACCCAAATTTCATTTTGTGGGTATTTCTGTAAAGAGTATTTAGGGGATTTAAAATGAAGTGTCATTAGAAGAGAGTGCATAATTAAGGTAGGAGTAGGTTTGAGGGAATGAATGCTAAAACTAAGGTAAATCTTCCATTAAACTCTCCCCCCCCACTTTTGATTTTTTATCAAAATTACAAATTGCAATCGGTGTTTCGTTTTGAAAGAAAAGCCCTCTATATAAATACACAGTGTGTACCGAACGTCGACGAAATGAAGCCAAACGAGAAAAACAGTTTTTCCGGTTTTGATTGGAAAATGTAAGGTTGTGTGCAAAAAGTCCAGATACAAAAGTTGTTCATTTTTTTATTTCCTACAACTTACTTCGAACATTTTCGCATAAAATTAATGGTTTTGCCACAAATTGCAAAATACCACTTTCCATTCCTTCTTGTCCGCCGGAAAATTCAGCTTTTTCATTATTTTTTCCCCAATTTCGAATCATTTAACCTGCATGAAGAACCCGGTTTGGATGGGGCACTAATTTAAAAAAAAAATTATCCAACTATCCAAGTCCTCGTGTGAGATCGGTGGGACTTCAGCTCATTTTTGTGCGGCAGATCAGTGTTCAATAGAATCCTCATCTGCCACACAAAAATGCGTTGAAGATTTGACTCAACCATCAATAAGATCTTATCGAAGGCTACTACATTCCCTTTGACGATACCCGCTTCCGACGTTCCGTTCACCCGCCATTCGCATTTTGGTGGATTTCGCTAAAAACCCTCCACAAAATAGTTCTCAATTTTTGGGACACTTCTTATAGTAAAACAAAATTTTTGGCCTTATAATATGGTCATGACCGCCTAGAATGGGGAGATTGAGAGGAGGCAAGTTAGACGTTTTACTTAGAAAATTTCAAAGCATATTTGCAGGTGAGTCTGTAGTTCATATAAATCCAAGATTTAGGGCTGAAAAAATTCAAAAGTCCAAAATCTCCAGTCCAAAATGTTTCTTTTGCTTCTCACTAAGTACCAAAATGAGCACTTCTTTTTATTCTTTCAGAATTTACTTTCGAATTTACTAAAAACTAGGTATAAATTCGTTATTTTCATATCCAAATAAATTATGAGATCTAGATCGCACCCCTTTTAGGGATGTAGAATTAGCATACTGAAAAACCTAAATGAAGCCGTTAGTACCATGCTGCTATGTGTTGTGGTTGCAGAGAAATATATATGTTAATTAGGCAGTCCAAAATTTGAGCTTTCTGAAGGCATAGCCGCATGGTTCTCGAACGAAGCATTTGAGAGCCTTGGTTATTAACGAAAATGTTTGTTTTGGTTCTCTCTACAGGTCAATTTCTTCTTTAGTGGTACATCTGGGGCGCAACATAAAAATTCATATGTCATTATCCTGTTTAAAATAATGTGTTGCAGATATTTTTTTCATTGGTCGTCTGTAGTCTTCTGATGCAGACTCTGTGTCAACCTCAAAACACTTTTACTACAAAAGATTCAAAAAGATTTAAGTCTACAGGGTGTAGCATTTAAGAACCCTCGGACCTTTTCCTTTACCATAAAAGACCTTCGCCATGTTTCTAAAATAGTTCTGATCACCATGTCGTGCTATATGCCAGTGACATCTCTAACTTACGGTTTTTTTTATGGAACACCTCATAGTTTATTTCCGATTTGGAAAGTACTCGAAAAGTAGGTACTTATTTTTGTATGTAACATACCCTTAATTTGGAGTTCGCTGTTTTAATTTTTTTTCCTCAAAATTTGACCGTTTTTTCAATTTTTTTTGAGAGAAACGAAATCGCGCCGGCGGCGCGGCAGCTACGTTTTGGATTGAGGCACAGTCTCAGACCTCTCTCACTGCCATATAGATTTTTAGGTAATTTATCGAAAAAAGAAAACGTTCGATTGACCTATTTTTTTAAAATCCCAAATGGCGGCCGCCTAATCAAATGAGATGCCAAAACTACACAATTTTCACTGAAACAACCACACATTCTATCAGAAAATTTCAGAGAGAAAACAAATCGAAACCCTAATTTGTAGAAAAATATAGTTTTTAGATCAAAGTGTGCCATAATGAAACAAAACATGTTCAATTGTCACAATTAACAGTAAAATCTCGGCAACATTATTGTGTTTACCTACCACCCGTAAGCTAGTAAGGGAGGTATTCTAATGAGTTAAAAAAGTGACTCCGCACCTATTAGACGGATATATACGCTTGGAAACCGAATTAAACAAAATCTCGACGATGTCTGTCTGTCTATCGGTATGTACTGTCACCGGAATTGCTATTGAGAATTGAACACTGTATCAGAAATTCAGAAGTAGGGACACGATAGGATGAGAGTAGTACCTCCATCCATTGAAATGAAAAAATCATAAAATTTGATTCGTGCCGAAGAACACTCAGACAACATACATCGCTAAGGTTCACTGCAGTTTGTCCATTTTTTGCGTCATGAGAATTATTTAAAATAGGGCAAGGTTTTCATTTTTTCATACGAATTGGAACAACTTTTCCCAGTAGAACGAACATCTTTGAATATGATAGGTATTAATTTCAACGAATTTTTCCATTTGACGTTGATTTTTTTTATATAAATCGCCATCAAGCGCAAATTATACTTTTCGAGTTTTTTTGTATAGGTAACATGAAGTTGAGAAAAATTGACGTTAAATGCATCATTCTTAGAAAAAGGCAAAAGGGTTTTTACACGTATTTCAATAGGTATTCGCTCATGGTAGTTATATTTAGCTACACAAGAGACTAACCAAAGGGCATCATTTTCACTTCTCGGGGCATCCAACTAATGCGCGTTTGGACTGATCCTAGAGAAATCTCAAAGTACATGACGATTTTGACATACGGTATACCTAGGCAGCTATCCTTTGTTAAGTATACCATTGAATAAAAACCATGTTATTCAATGGTTATACGGCGAAGTACGCAGTTTAGATAGTTTTAAGCAGATAACTTCCGCATAAAAAAATCCAAAGTCAGTAGGTATCTTAAAAACTGAAGGAGTAGGTACCTAGTTAAATTTTCTCTTTCTACCTTTCTCCACCACCTGGGGGATTGTGTACGAGGTCGTCAAGGGAAGGTTTAATCTATTTCGTTAGACACCTATATAAATAGGTACACCTATATACCTTACACGTAGCAGATATATTCCAATTCCGAATAAGTGCACTAAAAAAGTATTATTTGGGCGGAATTCCCCTATTTTAACCCCTTGAAGTGGATATACCAAATTAAAATCCGCATATTGGGTGACGCAAACGAAGTTCATTCCTAACGCGTGTCTTCTAAGATTCTGCTTCGACTACAAGTTTATTATGTCTCTTGCTTTGAAATATTTGGAAAAGTGACTCCAAATGAAAATAAATTCACTTTTGATTAATTTCGAAACGTTGCAAAACAATCGGCGGCATTACATTGCGTAGAAAGTTTCGCGAATTTTAACATAAAATTATGGACTATCACTTTAAATTATATAAATATGTTATATAAATTGACGATGTCAATATTAATTATTTAAATATTTGAATCCAAACCTTGTCGATTGTTTCGCGAACCAAGTTTTTAAGATTGTACAAATTACAAAACTTTTACTCTAATAAAATGCGACAGAATTATAAAAGTTGTACATGATAAATTAGGTATTACCCAACAATTATAACCTCAACATTTATATCGATCTAAATAATTTGTAGTTTACAGAACTTGTTTCTGTGAATTAGTACACATTATCTTGTATTTACGCAATTAGGCTTTTTGTTTATATTTGTAACAATCACTTTGTTGTTGTGGTCATTAGTGCAGTATGTGTCTTAAAACTTTGACCTATACTCAGTTACAAACACATTAGGTTTCCATAAAGAAATTTGCCCGTGATCAAGGATGAAACTGTAATTACCATGTTTGCGCAGGGGTCAAGTTCTAACTTTGCAAAAATGAATTGCAAATTCCAAAGGAGATGAATATTAAGCGTCTTGGATATTTATGAGCTTTAATATTATTCGAGGATGTTTATTATGTAAAGTGCCGGGCCGGCGTCTATCAATTAGCGAGGTTATTTCATTTTGGGGTTTCACAAATGGGGGTTTGTGTAAATACGCAGCGTTAAAGTTACCGTTAGAAAATCTGAAATTAATCGAACGTATCGCACACGAATTTGCTAAAAATGTGTGAGGTATACCTTGAAATGTACCTACCTGACCCACAGCACCCCAACGGTGCACAATAGTGTCAATAGTGTATTTTGCCGACCTATTCAGTAACGCACCTGTTTCCCCCTCCCGACGAAATGGTAGCCGAACGATTGGTTGTCATAACTAAGAATGAAGCCTATTGGCTGAATGGCACGTGCATGCTATCCAAGACATCTGGTGTTTTGGAGTAGGGAATCGCTTATTAGACAGGTAAATCTGCTTCCTACTTCAGACCTTCTCTTAACGTCGTTGCGTACACGTCTGAAAGAGGTATATCTCTTAGTTCGTTCTTTACGTTTGGAGTTTCATTTCGTTAAAAGGATTTTGTGTGCTGTGTTTTTGTGTTAGTTAATAAGTGTTACGTTAGAAATGCCAGTTAATATAATGGCGAAGAATTATAGTAATTGCCCTTTGAAGAAGAGGCCCGTGCATCTTATCGAGGATCCCTCAGGTAATAGCAAGTTCTTAAGTTTTGGCGAAAATCACGATTTTGCCATTTTTGTGATATAGTGTCCGAACCTTGATCAAATCATCGTAAATAGAAAACAAGAATGGAAACATTGAAGATGCCGGAAGTTATCAGTCTAAGTCGCGTGCTATCTTAATTCACACTCGCGTTTTCCCTTTAGCAATTTCATTTCCGTGTGAAAATCAGAACGTTATTGTGCTAACCTGAATTCTACAAGACTTTAAATTTGCATTGTTATAGATCTATCTTTTTTAACGTTACAAATACTGTGGGAATTTCCTGCGGCGGTGCAGTTCGGTAAACTTAGACGAATCAATAGATAGATAACGGAAGGATGTATTTGATCTTTTATTAACGTTTCGATATTCCCATGCATGTTAAACAGGAAATTTCACTTGGCATAAATGGGTTACTATAACTTCTCTTTTAATTGCAGATGAACCTGAGAATTTGAGCACGAAACCGGAAGATTTAAGTCGATCTGGTTGCCATTCGACATCCACTTCGTCACCAGTATCTCCACCTATATCTCCATCAGTTTCACCACCATCATCTCCGCCGATGTCTCCCCCAATGTCGTCACCATCACCGACTCACCACCTTTACCAGCCAATTAAGACGGAACCGTGCCTACCGTATCGTCCACCGATCAGCCCGGATTACGCCCCGCAAACCTGGCATCGTAGTGTTGCACCTTTGTATCCACCAGCATACCATCCCTACATCCCTTACCATTACAACCACGAATACATGGGAATCATGAGCCCGACATCGCCCTACAGTGACAGCTCCTGTTCACCTCCACACCCGCACCACAATCAACCCTTGGCACCTCTCGCCCTACGTCCCACAATGTACTCCTCCATAGACCAGTCATCCTTAAGCCCCAACTCGTCGACCACCTCACCGCCACCCCCATCCAACGCCGAAGATCTCACCGACAAACGACGCCAAGGCATCAGGCACCAGTGTCCGGATTGCGGAAAAAGTTACTCGACATTTTCCGGCCTCTCCAAACACCGCCAGTTCCACTGCGCCGCCGGCGACGGTCCCCGAAAGTCGTTCAGTTGTAAATATTGCGAAAAAGTGTACGTATCTTTGGGCGCGCTCAAAATGCACATTAGAACCCATACGTTACCTTGCAAGTGTACAATGTGTGGCAAGGCTTTCTCAAGACCATGGCTATTGCAAGGTCACATTCGCACACACACCGGCGAGAAGCCTTTCTCGTGTTCCTATTGCAACAGAGCTTTCGCCGACCGTTCAAACCTAAGGGCGCACCTTCAAACACATTCGGACGTTAAAAAATACTCATGTCCCACGTGCAGTAAAACATTTTCGCGAATGTCCCTACTTACCAAACACGCGGAGGGTGGATGTAACGGAGGTGGAAACTTAATGCACACCGAAAAATTGTATTAATCGCCTTAGTTTTAGTGTTTTTCTACTTATTTATTTTTTTCTAAAAGCGTATACAGATTTTTGATTTCCTGTTAAAACAGTATTTTCTGCATAAGGTGCCTTAAAAAAAGACTGAAGATTACTATAAAAGTGTACAAAACGTATTCCTATTCCTGTACTTAATGTAAATAGGCGTTAAAGCTAATATATTTTTGTAAATCCGCGTGTAAATGTTAACCTTCTGAAAATAATTTTATATATTTGCGTATTGTTCGATCGCAAAGTATCTAGTCAAGAGGATTAAAAACAATATAGACCTTCCTCTACCTATTACTTAGTAAAATTAAATGCCATTGTATAGTGCCTTATGTAGTACGTAATTTTTATGACTTTTATGAAGATTTTTATGTTATTTGAATAAAAAAATATTGAAACAATGTGGTTTGTTATAGAAAGTTTGTTCCACTTCCTGGTAACATTCTTCATTTCTGGCGAGAGTTAAATTCCTACGATTATTATAACAATAATAAGTGAGTTATTATATTTGAGATAAGAGCCTTTAATCTACACCCGAATAAAATGAAGTTGTAAGATTAATAGCCACTGACATATCGTAACCGCTAACCAGTTGCGAAATTAGTGAAACCTACTTGATTATCTTAATATTTTTATATTATTATGCGGCGATGTTAATAGTAGAAAAAAATGATTTAATGTCAATTTGTAGCGTTGCGTAACAACTTTCTGAATCTTAAGTTCAATGTGTACAAAATACGTTTTCACCACACCAATCTTTCATTGGAACGAGAAAACTAGTTTGTGTAACAGTTTTTGTTGTAATCTAATGATCTTTATGCAGCAGGTTGCTTGCTGTATTAGGGATGTGTTGTAAGTGTAGGTATGAATCATGATGCTGGTCATACAGAGGAATTCACGTCACAACCCCGTTAGAAAATTTAAACGTTCTCATCAGTCCTAATTAATATATATCATTTTATATAAGCTTGTAAACTATTAACTAAACCAAATTAGTATGGAAAACAATACAACGATGGGTACCTATACCAGTATCACATAAACAAAAACGATAGCAAAATTATGAAAAGCTCATTTTCTGCGACACTTGTTAAACAATTGGTATTTCAAGAAATTTTAGGATTCGATGGATGGGTTAATGAATGCTACGTGTGTGCCGGTTCTTTCCGCCGTAAAAAGTTAGCCAGCAAAACATACCGTTTGGAAAAAGTAAAGGAAGCCAAGCAAGAGAGCAAGAAGAAGGGTTGGCCGAAAGGCAAGCCCAGACTTCCCCGTAACTCAGGGGAAATGTCGAGAGGGTCTTGCACAAACTAGTCTGTGAAAATCTCTGTGATAAGTATAGTTACCTTTTAACTACGTTATTCTTGTATTTACTGTGATATATATGTTCGTTTGTCTACAAAAGTGTTAATCGTCGTTATTTATATAAATGTATATATTTATTTATTCAACAAGAATGAACACGATTATCCAATGGAACTGCAACGTATAGTCGTGCAAAAGTACTGTGACCTCAAGATGCTACTGACGAAACATGATCCAATATGTGTGTGTCTGCAAGAAACGCATTTAAAACACGGCCAACCTTACGGGTTGAGAAATTACAATATCGTAAGGAAGGAGGACGACGTACATGTTAGGGCTGCAGGAGGAGTCGCCATTATAACTAAACTTGAAGCTCGTTCTAAAGAAATTCAACTAAACACACGCCTACAGGCGGTGGCAGTACGAATGTCTCATCCGATTTTGGCATCAATATGCAGTCTATACCTACCGAGAGACGATTGGGAAGTTGCAGATCTTGAAAATCTACTGGATCAACTCCCTGTCCCTCTCCTACTAGTGGGAGATTTCAATGCACACAGTCCTATATGGGGTTCAGAAGTTAGAGACAGTAGAGGTCGTAAGGTAGAAGAACTGGAGCGGGATGATATTGTTCTATTAAACACAGGTGCTTTTACGTATTTTAATGCCAGAGCGCGATTGATCTGACTTTCGCCTCACCAGTGTTGGCCGCCCGTCTGGAGTGGAGGTGGAGACCACTTGATGATCTTCACAACAGTGACCATTTCCCTATTGCTATTGGAACAGACTCTCATAGAACGCCAGTTATCACTCCCCGTAGATGGAATCTGGAGAAGGCACACTGGGCCTCTTTCGAGGAGAAAATGTCTAAGGACATAAATCTGACTGCTAACCTATCTCAAGGGGTGCAGATACTTACGGATTCCATCAAAAGTGCGGCCCTAAACTCTATTCCTGTAGTGGGCGGCAGATCGATTACCCGAAACGTTCCCTGGTGGTGTCCTGCGGTTGCTATAAGAGTTAAAAAAAGAGCACTAAACGTTTTCCGTCGAAGGCCCACCGAAGACAACTTGGTTGCTTTCAAGATAGCTAGAGCTAAGGCGCGTAGAATAGTTCTAGAATGCAAAAGACAATCTTGGAATCGTTATACTTCTACGATTAGCCCCAGCACGTCTTCATCTGAGGTATGGAGAAGGATAAAGCTTCTGGCTAATGGCAAGAGAACTGCGTCAATCACTCGGATTATAACTCGAGATGGGTCTACCACTGAAACCCCTCACCTGATTGCCGAAACTATTGCTGAACATTATGAAACAACCAGTAACTCACAAAACTATGAATCACCTTTCCGAGAGAGCAAAATGGAATGGGAAATACCTCTCAACTTTAACACTGCGGAGATACTTGAGTATAACATACCCCTTTCCATGGCCGAGTTGGATGAAGCTCTAAGATGCGCAGACTCAAAGGCGTCAGCGTCTGACACAATCCCATACATATTTCTAAAACATCTTCCATTAACTGCAAAGCTATCTCTCTTAGACTTATATAATCAGTGCTGGGTCGAAAATACTTACCCTAGTGAATGGAAAGAGTCCGTCGTCGTTCCTATCCTCAAACCCGGTAAGGACCCATTGATCCCGTCGAGTTATAGGCCCATAAGTCTAACTTGTTGTATGGGTAAACTTCTGGAAAGGATGGTCAATAATAGACTGATGTGGTACTTAGAACAAAACCGACTCATAGTAGACCATCAGGCGGGTTTCCGCCGAAACCGATCCACCAATGATCAGTTAGTGTATTTGGAAAGCATTGTCCAGCGCGCCTTTAGAGACAGGGAACATACTGTGGCTATATTTTTTGATCTCGAAAAGGCCTATGATATGACATGGCGATACGGTGTTTTACGAAAGTTGCATAGCTGGGGACTCAGGGGAAATTTGCTCTCTTCCTTGCCGACTATTTGAGAGAGGGAACAATGAAGGTGAAATGTGGAAACGCCCTCTCGACGTCTAAGGTCCTTGAAAATGGTATTCCCCAAGGTTCGCCGCTAAGCGTCACCCTATTTGCGATTGCCATAAACGACATTGCATCGGGTATAGACCCTGCCGTGCACAAATGCCTCTACGTTGATGATTTGGCCATTTTCTGTGCGGATAAAACTGTTTGGAAGAATAACCAGGCGTCTTCAACCGGCTCTAAACCAAATAATCAGTAACGCCGAAAACTTTGGCTTTAAGTTTTCCCGCGAAAAAACAAAATGTATCCATTTCTGTAGACCTCACTATGATCCCGTAGTTTTCTTTAAGGATCGACCCATACCTGTCTCAAGATCTGTTCGTTTTCTGGGTCTCATCTTTGATGATCAACTAAGATAGAGAGAACATATGTATATAGAGGGCGTAGTAGATAAATGTAAATTGGTCCTTAACATATTTAAGGTGCTTGCGGGTAACCAAATGGGGGGCTGATCCAGACACCTTACTACAAATGCACCACTCCCTGTTACTATCCAAGATGGAATTTGGCTGTGTAGCCTACTCTTCCGCGTAAGTCAACCTTAGCTAGACTGGACCATCTCCACCATGCGGGAATAAGATACTCTATTGGCGCTTTTCGCACCAGTCCCATACATATAATGCTTTCCGAGGCAGGTTTCCTCCCACTGTCTCACAGACGCGATAAAATCCTAAGTGGATATGTAGCGGGAATCCGGGCGCAACCGGATCATCCCAACTATAAACTTTTGTTTTCCGGAATATGCCGTTTTCTGGAGAGGCCACGAACTATTCGCTGCGATGGGAGTTATTATGCCGTCCGTGTTACCATTTGGACAGGGCGAAGTTCCGCCTTGGATGATCCCGAAAATGAAAATCTTCTTAAAACTGGCGGAATACGTTAAAGACGATACCCCAGTAACGATATACAGAAGCAACTTTCTTGCCTTTCTGGAGGAGCATCGGGACTCAACCATCATCTACACTGATGGATCACGCACAGAATCAGGAGTAGGATGCGCTGTATACGTGGACTACTCGTCGCACGAGTGGACACTTCCGCCTATGACAACTGTATACGGAGCAGAACTGTATGCATTGTGGCAGCTGCTGTATTGTCTAATAAATAGAGGACACGTGTTTCTGATTGTTTGCGATAGCCTCAGTGTTATGGCCGGGATACGGACATTTTTTCCCGTGATCCTCTTATTCAGAGAATACAAGCAATGTACACAAATGTTACGAAGTCCGGTAAGGTAGTGGAATTTGCGTGGATACCCAGTCATGTAGGAATACACGGAAATGAACTGGTTGATGCAGCAGCAAAACGTGCAACAAGAGGAACCCGAGTAGATGTCCAGGACCTAAGACCCACGGATCTTAAAGCAGCCCTGAGGCTGGCCGTGGGAAGGACGGCGAAATGGATTCCGCCACTTAAGCTAACGCGAACCGAACGCGTGAAAATACAAAGGCTGCGGATAGGACATACTGGACTCACCCATGCTTATATACTTCGCGGAGAACCTCCTCCCATGTGTCAATGTGGTGAACGGATAACGGTCGTCCATATCGTATGTACGTGTCCAAATTTTGTCCAAACAAGAACAGCGCTGCAAATATCACCAGACCTACAGCAGAACTTGCGGGAGTCTACGAGAATAAGAGGAGTGCTAGATTTTCTGAAAGGAAATAACTTATTCAACATGATTTAAGTAACATATTATACATGCCTAGAGAAGTGATGATTGGCGATGGCGGTATAAGTAAAAAAAAAAAGGCCAATGACCAAGAAGTCGACGCCTTGGAAAAAAAAAACTCATTTCTTAGATTTGGACATTTGGACTAATCTGCAGCCAATCTCTAGAATTGCTCACCTTTTCAGGCAATGTAACGGAACAATCGCTGGAATTACTCTTCCTAATATAATGAAGAAAATCATCCTCGCAGAAGCCGATTGTGTCAATAGCGATACTCCGTATGCAAATTCACATCATAAGACATTACTTTGGATAGATATTTACCAATGGCCCT